ACGACCTATACACACTTGTGATTTCTATTTGATCCTTTGTTGATGATGTCTGGTCAAGCCAATGTGTAGCTTGATACCGCGACATAAGCAGGCGATGTGGAGTGAATGTAGACGAACTCTAGGGATTTTCCGGATTGTAATGAGTGCATCCACGAGGGTAAACCGAATGAATTGCCTGATCTCGAGAGTCCCCAGATTGGTCCATAGAGGTTCTTAATCGAAAGGTTGAGACTTTTCAGAGCTCTTGGTGATCTGTTAATCACAGTTGTTGAGTATCTGTAGTAAGTCCTTCCCTTTGAGACCCATGAACCAGTCACCTTCTGAACTATAGCCACTGGACCAGAAGCTGCACAAGGAACCAACAGAGTCAAGTCTCTATCCAATCAAAACTCAGAGATTCACATGTAGACAAAAAAGAACACAAATCCATACCTCGGACTGGACTAGTCACTCTCGGTCTACGAATAGGCATTGGTCTTCGGACAACAGGAGCAGGAACCACTGTAAGGACACAACACAAGCAAAATTAGTTCTTTGAGTTCCAAGTTTCGTCTCGGGAATGTTTTGAAGCTCAAACACAAACCTGGAAGAAGCTGGCTGTAACCGGAATGTCCACTACTGAGACGAGCAAGAACACCAAGAAGTGGTGCATTGTTGTAAGTAGCAGGCTCAGTCTGCTCATAGTTATCTCTCCTATCAGCGAAATTGTCGTAAGCATCAGGACCACCAACAATAGCACCAGTGAGGAGGTTCGGGTCACTGCCTTTACGGCCATACCAAGTGGCATATCCACCACGGCAAGTGACAAATGTGCGATCCACCTTGTAAGAGACAATGGAAGAGCCTCTATGGTGAACTCTTTGAGGGAAATTGTTACCATACCCAACCATATAGCTTGTAGCTCTTGGGTTATCTCCAAGAATGTAATCCACCTATCAAGAAGAATATACATATCATGAAACTGTCGGTTTTTTCTGGAATTCAAACGCGGTTTTCGCAACGATCCTTTACCTGAGATTTAGCAAAGGAAAGAAGCTGCGAAGGAGCGACATTTCCAGAGGAACATTTCAAGTTGCTTCTTGAAGAAGTTAGGTAATCAGAGTAAACAGTGGTCAAGAAGGAAGCGCTAGTGACAAACTGCATATTGTTCCAATGTTGTCTGAAAATCAAACCACCTGGTGTCTTCTGAACGTTCCTCGAGCCTTTACCCAACAAAGAACACATAAAGGAATCAGCTTTCTGTTGAAACTTCTGGAACACAGGCGTGTGTCGTCCTGCTTTGCCTTGCATCAAGAACTGTTGTCACAAAGAACACACAAACCGGTTTAGAATCTTATCAAACCGGTTGGTTAACAACAAAATTGAAAATTGGTACTACTGACCTTGGCTACAAGGGTTTGAACACCAGCGTATTTAACATCCCAACCGAACTCGGTCATGGACCAACCGGTTCCACCCATGGAGTCACCATTACGACCCAAGTAGTCCAAGTAGAACTCGTTGTTCGAAGCTTGGTATAACCACGCAGCTGCCCAAAGTAACTCATCCTGATCGAGACAATTTCAGACATTAGTCAACAGTTTAAGCACTTAATCTCGGATTCTCGGATCGAATTTTGTCGGATCTTACATTGTATCCACTGACTGATCCGTAGTATTTCCGAGCGACGGTGATACTACCGTCGTATTTTCCTCTGTACTTGTCGGCGAAATCAAACAACTGTAAAATGATAAAATAAAGGAATTGAATTAGTATTGCAAATCCGTAATTGAACAGAGGTAAGTTTAGAAATTTTAGTGAGAATGGCAAATTCGTGATTATGTCGAAGAAGAAAGGTTAAACTGGGAAAGCTTGTTACACAGTATGGGGCACCGACAGCCCAAGGCACGTGCGAAGTGTTTATTAAAAAAAAAAAACAGAGAAAATATAAATTTAAGATGAACGGCTGAGATCTGTACGGTCACAACACAAAAAACCCGTGATGGACGGAAACGGCGTCGTTGCACAAAAGGATCCATCTTTTGTGGGGTCCATTTACGCGATCCACGAAACAACGCCGTTTCGGTGGTTTAAATTAGCATTTTAAGGCTACTGTAACCGTATTAAATTCTAACATTAAAAATAGTTAGAAAATCAAATTTGCTAAACTCCTGGTGAACTGATATAATTATAGCAAATCTCAGAGAATATTTCTTTTTTAGGCTTTATAATTTATATTTGCATCAGAATAGAAACAAAATTAATTTTCAGGTAAACATAATTTTCAGAGGTTTGTCATTTTCATTACTACTAAAATGACGCCTCGATATAACGCCTAACGTGCACCGAAAATGACATTTAAGTGAACTTTTTTCTACTGTTGTGCAATAATAATGTGTCTGCAACTTCCAAAACGTAACCGCCTGTAATTAATTCTACCACACTTTATGCTAACGTGCGCGCGTGTTAAAATAAAAATGCGCCGGAGAAGAAAAAAAAAAGAGTTTATTTACCTGATAAGCGTGAGTGAGTAGTAGCCTAGAGTAAGCTGGGTTAGATCGGCGGAAGACGATTGAAGCGGCGGCCATGGCGGCTGCTGTTTCTCCGGCGAGATCCGACCCGGGATTACTCGGATCTATCCGGTAAGCTTTCCGGTCAGTCGTCATTTCTTCCGGTCTCTGCCAACAGTAATGGTCGGTGTTTCCATCTCCTACCTAATAAAATACAAAATTCAAAAATTAAAATATGAAATTGGGAAGAAATCTTTATTGAAAAATTCAATTTG